CTGTACTTATCGATGTTCCATTTTTCCCAAGTTGAAATTAAGTATTGAATTGTTCGTTTGTATGATACCATTTCAAACGAGGTTATTCATTCTGTCAAAAACTACCCGCAAATCTCCATCACAAAGAGCTGTCTCACAAATGATCAATGATCAAATTATGTAGTTAGACGGCTTTTAACCGTGAAGGTGTACTGAGGTAATGGGAATCTCACATCACTGTGAGTCGGTGATGCAGCTACGAAAATAGATTAAATTTTTGTTTCAATCAAAGACTTGTATGGTGATTTAGAGCTGAAACACGACACAAGCAGGTAAATGACTCGTAAATCAGTTAATCAAGTATACTGTTGTAATTATAGCCTGCATAATTAGTACCGAAGATGATGACTAGAGCTTTGAGCTTTACACACGCACGTACTAATATTCTTACTTCCAATGGCTTTGATAAAAATAAATCTTAAAATTTGGCACTCAAAGCATCGAGTGAGCCAATGTTTATGTCTAGATCTAGATCTAGTATCTCTATTAAAAGAAAATTTTCTGTGTCTGTTTTCGCTGATAAACACACATATGCCTCCATTTGCATATAAGGGTTTTGCCCTCGTTCGACAAATACAAAAAGACGAAATTTTACGTTTCCAATATTTTCTCCACTATTATGCAGTTATTAAACTACGGTATTTCTGTATTATGTAATCTATCGATAAACTGCTGCATTTCTTCACGTCTTGTGACTAATCTTGCTGATAAATCTTAGCTTTAAAAGAGTTAAGATTTCAATTATGATTTTCTTTGAATACAGATTCGAGCAATACTTTTGACAAATCGTAATATTTTTTTTCTATGTTGAGTCTTAGAAAAAGAATTGTTCCCATTTGTTTTCTTTATCTAACAATTGAAAAGCATGAATATTACGAAATATAGAAATACGTGTTACTGATTTCTGCAGGATGGTTTGAAATGTTTCGAAACATTGCCGCCTTTTTGTGTGCTGCTGGTTGGACTTGTGTGTCTGCCACTTCATTTGTTTTGTTTTGTTTTGCTTGTTTAAGTAAAAAAAAAGAAGCATATCGACCCAATAATGGTCACTTTTATTGCTGGGGGAAAGTAAGACAGACAGACAGATAGAAACAACAGAGAGAAAGTACAGCAGTAGTACATAGCAGCAGTAGCGCCCTCCAACCACCCGCGCTACTTCTTTTGTTTAGTGTGTTTGTTTGAGTAAATAGAAGCACATCAACTCAAAAATGGTCATAATATTCTATTGGGGAAAAGTAAGACAGACAGATCGACAGAAACAATAGAGGGAATGTTAAGAAGTAGGAGGACTTACCAGTGGCGTCCTCCAACCATTACCCTAACTTCTTCAAAGAGTTCGACTCAAACGTGCAGGAACAAACAATCCACTTACTTTCCACAGAAGTGACGTCGGTAGCCCAGTGGTTAGACTACCGAACTCGTATATCGTGTGATTGTGAGTTCGGGGGTTCGAGCCTCAGCTCGGCCCGACGATGTGTCCTTGGGAAAGGAGGCACTTTACACGAATTTCCCATTTGGCTCGGACCTTTCGGAGATGGACGTAAAACACGGAGGTTCCACTTCTTAAATAACCTAACATGACCATGTTTTTCATTCTCCACAGGGTGTCCGGGCAGCGATGAAGCCACAACAACAACAACATCAACAACAACGAAAACAACAACAACAACGAAAACAACAACAACAACAACAACAACAACAACAGCACCAAACGGCCCTGACAACTAAAACAGCAAAACCAACATGAACAAGAAACAACAACAGCTTTTACCCCGGCAAAAGTTTATGAATAGTCATAAAAAATCTGTTTATTAACAAAGAGTTGAATATATTATTCTTATTATGAACTGTGGGACGCGAGTTTTTTCGTTGACCAAGGGCCAAAACGTTACACTTACAATGCAGACAAAACTGTCTGAAGATGGAACCTTCTGGCTATTAGCCCACCTCGGATCTCGCGTGCTGTAAACGAAACGTAACTGAGAAGAACACTCGTCAGCCTTAAGCAAACTATAACATTTATTTCACCATGCTACAAGGCTTACACACAACTTGCTCCATCTTAAAATGCTCACACATTACATGGATATATATTAACACCATCTCAGAAGGCTCACACATTACATGGATATATTTACACCATCTTAGAAGGCTCACACATTACATGGATATATTTACACCATCTTAGAAGGCTCACACATTACATGCAAATATATTTACACCATCTTAGAAGGCTCACACATTACTTGCAAATATATTTACACCATCTTAGAAGGCTCACACATTACATGCAAATATATTTACACCATCTTAGAAGGTTTGCACATTACTCCAACCATCTAAGAAGGCTCACACATTACGCGTATATTAAAAAAATCTTAGACTGCAGCAGACCTGCACTTGTCACTACATGGCATTGGACAGAAGGGCCAGAGCCCAGCTGTTGCTGGATCGATAACAACAACAACAACAACAACAACAACAACAACAACAACAACAACAACAACAACAACAACAACAACAACGACGACGACGACAACAACACCATCTTAGAAGGTTTGCACACTACTCCAACCGTCTTAGAAGGCTTACACATTACATGTATTTATACGGTCTTTGAATGCTTACACATTACTTTCACCATCTTAGAGAGACTGTTAGCTTCCTTAAAAAAAAGACATGTCTCGCAAGATGTTATGAGCTAAACATATTGGAGACTTTGTAATCTTGGTAGCTGTTGCGTTGGGGGGGGGGGTGTTGGGTTGTTGTTTTGTTGAATAGAATTTTCTTTCTGTCATTGCTTGTGTGGTGATGGTGAGGGGTGGGGGACGAGGGGCCCATCCTGAGCAGAGCAGCTTTGATTTGTGCAAGCTATTTATGCCTGCAGGTAGCACCCCAACACCCCCAACCCCATACCTTAAAAAAGGGTTTTCGTTTTACGACGATTGCAATGACTGTAAAAAATGTTACTGGCGGTCAAAACAGTATAGATCATTTAGGGGGCGAACTCATTTGACCCTGCCTTTTAGTGCCGCACGTCCCGGTCTGAGTCTGAGACAGCAACCCATAGACAGACAGGCGGAAACACTCGATAAAATTTAATAACCTCCTAAAGCTGGGGTAAACTTCATCTCTTCTGCGAGCATTGGCGAAGAGCCTAACCTAGATCCAACCTATGAACCACAGACTCTAGTGAGAATGACTTTTTTCAGGTCTGTGTCACTCGCAAGTTGAAGTTATCCTTTTTTTTTTTTTTTTTTTTTGCAACAAGATACATAAATCCGAAGAAAAGAAGGGAATGGCCGCCAAAGATGAGTTATTTCCTTAGCTTAAGAGCCTGTGGTAACTGAAAGTTTACATTTTTTGTGCCTTTAATCAAGGTTTTTCAGAAAAATCCGCAGAGAAATGCGTTCTTTAATGGGCATGAAAGGTGTTGAGCCAAAAAGCAAAAAATTGATTAAAATTCACAAAGCTGCGGAAAAATGCCAGTTTCTTCACTTTGATTATTTTGACGAGAGCCTGATTCCACCACGCTGCCTCATATTTTGGTAGCCCTAACACCAGCTCTACAACAATTAAGTTCTATGCGCTTTACAATCTATAATAATAAGCTTATGATTGTTTGTAAGTCAGTAGAAAAGGCCGAGAAGAAAGGAGGTGCCAATGGCTGCTGTTTTTGATGTTGCTGTTGTTGCAAATTGTAGTAGTAGTAGT